GGCTATGGATGCAATGGGAACGATGATACACGGAACCATCGTTAGGCCCCCCTTCGGAAAATTTGTGGAGTTTGCGAAATTTAGCAAGAACACCCCGTGCAACAACGTACCGGGCATGCCAGGCATACCAAAGTGTAGCTCCCCCAAACAACAGAAACAAGTTGCGGTATGGACCCTCCCCCCTGCCTCCACTTTTCCCCGCTTCCCACCGACGCAGTGATGCTGGCGGAAATAGCGTAATCCGACGGTGAAATGGGAGAGGTGGCGTGGCGGAGCGTGGTGCGTGGAATGGGATGGGTACCGTGCCCTTGGGCAGCATGCACGCTGATATGCAACACGCCAGAGAGAGCGCGAGAGCGAGGGAGAGAGAGAGAGGGAGAGAGAGGGGGGTGGGCGAGTGGTCGCCGAGTAGTGCGGGTGCGAAGAGTGACAGCGGGCCGGGATGTACGCGTAATTTCCCCTGATTTTATTATTATTCGGGAAACTTTTCTAGAGCCCGCGTCGGGGGCGGTCCCGGAGACCGTGGAGGCCCTGGAGCCCCGGTTTCACGAGCCTGCGCCGCGAAGCCGCGCCGCGCGCGCCGTCCAGGTTCGTTATTGTTACACTATTTTGACGGTCGAGGGATTCTCTCCGATTCTCTTCCCGCCCGCGACGCTTTTGCGAGCGCAGGGGGCTTTCTCTTCGAACGGCATAACATATTTACAAAAAAAACAACCTAAAGAGCAGCTGTCGGTTGAGCCTGGCAGCCTCGCGTGCGTTGAACCGCGCGTACGACGCTCAGTACCACACAGCACGGCAGTACGCCCCCCACCCCTATCGCCGGGGGATATTTTTACCTCTTTTTTTCTAAATAATCTCCTTCGTTTACTTTCGCATCGTGATCGTGATATAGTTTCCGGGCCTCCACAGCCGACCAGTACGCTGCTATGCTCCTGGCAATCAACCTGTACTACGTGTGCGTGGCGTGTGCGTGTGTGTGTGTTCAACAGAGTTTTACGATCACGGCGCAAAAGTAGTGAGCCTTTTACCGAGTACGTCACGTATCCACATTTTTCTTAAATT